TTTATCCAGTAATCGAAACCGCAACTTTTGGTCTACAAGATGAGGCACACCGGCCAGGGCATTAACCCTGACTAAGAGCTGGATCGTTTAGGAAACAATAAAAATTTAGAGGAGGGGGATAGTAAAAGAAAACTAAAAAGTGTATGGTCTTAAACATTTCATAGATATAAGAATTTAGAAAGAGTGATCTAGAAAAATAAAAAAAGCCAGGAGGTAAAAGTATACCAAAAAACTATCATTTAAACAAGGTGACTTGGGACAAAATACGTTAAATTACCAAAATATTTTAGGTAAAGAGAGCAAGACCATCTTTATAAAAGATTTTTATTAAAGCTAAAATTAACTTTCAAATAATTCAAAATCAACTTTTTCAGTTAACTGTATATTAAATGTAAAGCTTTGTGGCAGTTCTCCTCTTCCAATGGACTTTCACTCTCAATGAGAGGACATAGTGAACACAGGAGAAATAGATATTAATCAGAAGTGATAAATGATTAGTTGGGAAAAGCATGGTTGACTGAAATATCTTTAGCCTTAATAATTTGAGGGAACAAAAATTCCATTAAATAAGGTTGTAAATATCACCACATTTTGCAAGGAAGATAAACAATTTTATTTTGAATGTGAACTTTGAGGTATTATAGGTATTTACTAAACAGATGGAGCTCAGAAGTCAATGCCAAACTGCTAGTCTAAAAATCATTACAATATGGGATGATAGATGTTAACTAAACTTACTGTGGTAGTCACTTCATAATATATGTGAATCAAGTCATTATGCTGAATACCTTCAACATCCACAGTGCTGTATGTCAACTATATCTCAAAACCGAAAGTAGAAAACAAACAAAAAAAAAGATCATTAGAATAGAGGTGAAGATGAAAGACATGGGATTAGATAAAATCACTCGAAAAGACAAAATTAAACTAGAGAAAATGGACTGAAAACAGGGTTTATAAAAAGTTCCTAATGTATGGGGTAGGTAGCTAAAGAGTGGGAGAGGGTAGAGAAAGGGAAGGTAGAGAAAGAGAGGGTTGGAAGGAAGGAGAGAGAGCAAAAAAGGAGCCATCAGAGACAGTAAAACAAAACAAACAAAAAACTAAACTAAAAAACATGAAAGAAGGAAGATACTTGTACCTGAGTCTTTAGTCCAGAGAGAGACTAACAAAAAAAACCTTAACAAAAAGTGAATACCCCTCATCAATGAAACAAAGACACAGCCACAACCACAAACCACAAACTATAAAAAAAAAAATTCTGCCAAATTATGTATCTGGAATCTAAATGAGGAGTGATGCTAAGAGCTAAACCACGTCCCCTCAACAGGAAAAAAAATGTCCCTAAAGTTGGGACAGTTCTACTAGTAAAGCCCATTCAAGGAAATTCTGATTAGAGATATTATACTTAAATATCTACCTGAGAGAATAAGAAAAGTTTCTCTAGAACATCATATCTATACTAGACAGAAAAACCAACATGACATTTTTATTATCAATGATCTAGTTTCCTAACTCAGAGAGACTGCCAAATGAGGTAAAAGAGAAGGGAAGCAGTTAGCACCAAACCAGGTACTACATAGACTCCGATGACCCACAGAATCTCAAGGTTACAGTGACCTTGACCGCACTGCAAGCTGAGGTGAGACATATCCCCAGAACAAGGGAAATGTCTTGTGTGAAGGAGTGTTTTAAGAAAAAAAAAATCCAAAATGGAAGTACAAACTGATGCCATTGATCCCCTCTCCCAACTACTCCATACTTGCATCTGGCCTCAAACATTTTTCAGGCAATACCTGTTCTTTAATAGAACTGAACCCATAAAAAATGAGTTAGAGTCAGAAAAGAATCAGCAAAGAATTTATGTAGAACTACCAAAAATTGGGTGGAAGGATATAGGCAAGTTGAAGAAAAGTTTTCCATGATCTTAAAGAAATTACAGAGAATATGAGCTATTTCAAAGAGGCCCAAAGAAAAGAATAAAATATCTAAGAAAAGATATGACACTTTTTTAAAGTGAGGAGAAGGCATATTGGCAGGCTAAAGAAAAAGCTGAAATAAAGTAAAATAAAAAAAGATTAAAGCTACAAAAACAACAAAAAACAGACTACTTAGTACAAAACCAGTCAGGTAACTCAATCCTGTTTCCCACAGTAGCTGTACCACTCTGTGTTCCTCACCAGTACTTGTTGCTTGTTGGGTTACAGGTGGCAGCCATTCTGGCAGGTGTGAGGTGATACCTCATTGTAGTTTTAATTTGCATCTCCTGATGTTCAGTGATGTTGAGCATTTTTTCATATGTCTATGGACCATCTATACGTCCTCTTTGGAGAAGTGTCTATTCAGGTACTTTGCCCATTTTTTAATTGGATTGTTCGTCTTTCTGGTGTTGAGTTGTATGATTTCTTTACATATTTTGGGGAATTCACCCATTATCAGATGTGTGTTATCCCATACAGTGGGTTTCCTTTTCATGTTGTTGACGGTTTCTTTGGCTGTGCAGAAGCTTCTTAGTTTTCTGTCATCCATGTGTTTATTTTTTCCTTTGTTACCCCTGCCCTAGAAGATATATCAGCAAAAATATTGCTACACAAAATGCCTGAGAATTTACTGCGAATTTATGTTTTTTTTCTAGGATTTTTATGGTTTTGCAACTTACATTTAAGGTTTTGGGTTTTTTTTTTATCCATTTTGAGTTTATGCTTGTGTATAGTGTAAGTTTCTTTTTTCTTTTTTTTTTTTGCATGTACCTCTCCAATTTTCCCATCACCATTTATTGAAGAGACGCTTTTTA